AATTTCCCGCTATACGGTATAAAATACTTCACTTCTCATGCAGAGCTCCAGTCTACACTGGGCAATGATAGGAACACTAGAATGCAGAGCATGAGGGACAGGCTACTGAGACTTGGTAAACTGTATTCAAGAAATGACAGCTACTTTCCAACTGGTAAAGAAACTAAAAAACTTTGATAAATTATGCATCTGATTCTCTCTCTCTCCCTCCCTCTCTCTCTCTCTCTCTCTCTCTCTCTCTCCCTCTCTCTCTCTCTCTCTCTCTCCCTCTCTCTCTCTCTCTCCCTCTCTCTCTCTCTCTCTCTCTCTCTCTCTCTCTTTCTCTAGCTTATCTTATTAAGCTGTTAGAGCAGCACTCCTGTCAGCTGGGGTGGGATCCTGGCTTCATTCCGGACATATTTCATCAAGTGGGTGTGTCTTACTCTACCCTATTCACACTCTACAACAACCTCTTTGAAGAAAAGGTATACGCCCATATTTGGTCATTTCCTTATTTGGATGCATAATTATTATTTTTAATTTTTAGGATACGTTTTGGGGTTCAGTAGGTCGACCGTTACATGTTCTGTCAGTTTTATTGGCTTTGCTATCAGCTTATACTGCTAACAGTTCACTAGTAGCTACCAAGTAGGACATTGTACATGCATTGTATCCAATTTGTACATATAAATGTAGTAGATGTGTATTTGCAAATTATGAAATACACATCTACATTGTGTATAGCAAAATAATGTATTTTTATTTCTTTCCATCTGCTCTCTCTCTCTCTCTCTCTCTCTCTCCATCTTTTTTTTAAATTTCTAATTAAATGCTAAGTAAAAAGTACTAAAAATTGCTTGGTATTTTGGTATGGTGCTTGAGTTTTTTTTCCTCCTCCTCTCTCTCTTTCTATAGACATTTCTCAGTTGCTATTGATAAGTATTTGGTTGAGCTACAGACACTGGATCCCTCCACTCCTGATATCAATACACTCACTGCTGGACTGAGGAACCTCAAGAGAGAACTGCAGAGGAACCTTGACACCATCAAATGAACACACTCCACCACACACTATCCATACACTTGTGTATACATACATTTTGAAAGGATAATTTTTCAATCTTAAGATACTAAATGTAGTCAAAGAATAGTAAGTCAAAGAATAACTGCAGTGTGCATATTATGACTGTTTTTTATGTGGACTATACTTAGCTAATGTGTGGATGAGGTACTAAGCTATGGTTGTTTGTCATTTGTGACATTCATCACAAAGTGCACTCTAAGTTTAGATATCAGCTATTCAACCATTTGTGACATGTTTATAACATGTGAGTTATTTTAACTAACATTAGCAAACATTATTACTAACACATGTACATCAATTACTATATCTAGTCTACCTGATTTACGTCGCTAACTAGTCTACATAAAATATGAGTACTGATCAAATGGTTGGTGTTTCATATTCAGTAGAAGGTGGTGGAAGAGAAGTAGGAGGCCCTGACTCAGTTGTATCATACACTGGCTCAACAGTTGATCTATAGTAATAAATAAAATATTCAATGTAATAGTCAATAGTGTAACTAACTTTGTTTTGAATTCAGTTGTAGCATAAGCTGGACTGCATTCCATTACAATGTCATTATCCAATTTTCTATCAACCACAAATTTTAATAGCGTTAATAGTACATATTACCTCTTTTGATTGATATTAGCTCTTTTGATATACATAACAATTACTAGTGCAACTATGATCATAACCATTGCTAGTAGTATAAAAAGTATATATACTACAGTGACACTGACTATCAGTCCAAGGTTTCCTTCACTAGTCACTAATACAGTGGTTGTCACAGCATATGTAGAGGATCTAGTCCGTGCAGTAGTCATAGTTGCCATCATTGTACTTGTCATAGTAGAGTAAAAAGCTAGATTTATAAACAAAGAATGCATGTATTGTTGCATTTTTCTTAATGAGATAATTTTGATAATGCTGATACCAATTAATGCTTCATGATTGTAAATAACATACAAACCTGATAGTATATATATTGGTTGAGTCCTCTCTCCTTCATAAATGATTCCATTACTATTAAATGATGTAGATATAGAGAACAAGTAGTTCAGATTAGGATCTAATCCTCCTATTAGACCTTCAGTAGTATCACCTGGGAATACTCTCATTCCTGTCTCTACTTGTCTCTTCTTTCTTGAGGAGCTACTGGTTGACTCATAATAGACAGTATAATGACTAGCTCCAAAAACAAAGCCCCACTCAGCTATCACTGCTGAAGAAATTAACTTTGTTATAGAGAAGGTTAGAACGATAGCTAAAATCAAAATAAATTAAAATGAATAGAGTAAAATATTTATAATTCCTTACGTATTTGAGGAGTAGTGTATTCTCTATCAGTCCATTCTCCTGGTCCAATACTAGTATATGCTCTCACTCCAATAGTATAACTAGTATTAGGTATCAATCCTACTATACTGTAATAAGTGTTAGTAGTGTTAATTATATTGTATGGACCAGTACTGGTAGACTCTCTATATCTTATCTCATATACTGTAATGATACCATTAGGTATTGTAGGAGGATTCCATGAAATACTGATCTCAGTTAATGTAGCATTTGTTTGCATCAGATCAGATATCACACCAGGAACTGTGTTAAGATCATGTTAAACTGATCAATATCACATTGACTTACTTGATTCAGTAGTTATATGTATTTCTTGTCTAGCTGATCCATTCATATTATAATTATAAGGTATTATACTCACAGTATAGTTAGTATATGGTATTAATCCTGTGAGATTATACATTCTGTTGTCTCCTCCAGTGATATTAACAGTATAACTAGTGTTTGAAGTGATGTTAGTGTATGTGAGGTAGTATCCAGTGATTGGTCCATTCCTTCCATTGCAAAGTACTTCATGCCATGAGACAGTCATTGACACTGACTCTACTGATGAGAATATAATATCACCCACTGGTGCAGTAGGGGCTACAGAAAAAGAGAAAAAAATAATAAACACTTAAATTATTTTTACCATTAGACAGTGTAATAACTGAATAATTAGTAATCAAATAAGCTATCTCAGCTCCATACACTCCAATAAGATCAAAGGTACATTGACTGTAAGGAGGTATACCAGTTGAAGTATGTGGTGATGAAACTGATGTTGTACTATTAAAAGTTGTTGATGATTCACATACTCTCCTACATCTCCTATTAATATTATAACTATTTGGCAATAGAGCAGTTGGTGGACTCCATGTTAATGTAATGGTAGAACTTATAATTATAGCCATAAAATCAGTAACTGCTGGTTCACCTAAAAGGCACAATTACTATAAGTTATTGCTATAACTTACTAATTGTTAACATAACTGAAGCATTACCACTAGGTAATAAAGCAGATCCAAAAGAAACTACATAGAAAGTGTATGTATTCCCTGGAATCAATCCTGATGATGTTATATTGATTATTGTATAACTAGTGTTAGATACACTAACAGGAGTATTACTAGACAGTTGATAGTAGACCTCATAACCAGTAGCTCCTGATACAGTAGACCAGGAGAGTCTTACATGAGTTAAACCAGTACTTAATCTTGTAGCAGTTAAACCAGTTGGAGTATCAGTTACTGTATGAGAAAAAGGTTATGAATACATGAAAATTGACACAAACCTGATAAACTCAAAAATGAGTCAGTACTTACTGCTTGAACATTACCAATACGACCATTAGTACCATCAGTTACTCTGGCATTAAATACAGTACACTGATAGTTACCAGCTTCTCTCAGTCTCACTGTTACTGTCACTCTTGTAACAGATTCTGATCCATTCACTATCACACGAGACAGTTCAGTAGATATTCCATTCCCATTCACTGAACAACTGACAGTAGTAGGAGGACCATCAGAGACATTGAAACTGAGACTGAAGACTGGAGGAGTAGCTAATCTACTAGTGGAGAGGAGAGAGAACTGCATAGTAGGATCAGCATTAGGACCATCTGTAAAAGAAATACATTAATTATAGTCTATATTCATCCCATACCATTGTTATTGTATCCAGTATCAGTATATGCTCCAACCACTAGTGTTTGATTCACTCCATTCTCATCAGGAATGATACACTTGTATAAACCTTCATATCCTGATAGTCCAGCTCCTCTAGCTAGTGCAATCTGACCACTGAATCTCTTACTGTACAATGGTCTAGGAGCTAATGAATTACCAAAGGCTCCATCAATTAAAGGTACTTCAGTTCCATTAGGATAATACCACACACCAATATTAGTAACATTGTCAGCACTCTGACACCACAAAGCATCAGTGACATCATTAACATCATTATTCTGATCAGTATCATAAAACTGGCCAGCATATATCATAGAGTAATCAGGTATTATCCTGTCCTGATAAGGTAAGTACAGTCGAACACCTGAATATGAGTATAGTGCAGTAATTAGCAACATGTAAATCCACTTATCTTCTTACCATTACTGGGTAGAAAAAAAGGTGCTTGTCCACTTTTAGATACAGTAATCAATTGAACTAGCAGTAGTATAAATAAAATAAAACAAGAACTTGTTGAGAGTACCATCCTGTTCAAGAGAATGATACTACTAATTACACTTTGCTACTTTAAAGTCATAACGTAGGTATGTTATTTTAAGTAACTACTATTACTAAACATTTCTAATTTTAGAACATACACATCTTATACTAACCACTGGCAACATAACTGCATGTACAACAAATATATTATGTTAATTGTATTGTATAGTAATGTATGTACATAAAAGATGAGTACATTATTAAACAGTTGGTATTTCATATTCAGCAGGTGGTGGAAGAGGAGTCTCATATTCATTATTAGTTGTATCATACACTGGCTCAACAGTTGATCTATTAATAATAACTTTAAATAATAATAATAATTGTATTTTATGTAACTGACTGTGTTTGTTGTACTGTACTGTATGCTGGACTATCCTTCATTAGTATATCATCAGTAGTACTGTATGTGTGTGTGTATAGACATAATGTACTAGTCAATAGTGTAACTAACTTTGTTTTAAATTCAGTTGTAGCATAAGCTGGACTGCACTCCATTACAATGTCATTATCTGATTTTCTATAAATTTTAAAATTAATTCAGTAATGAATGGGTACACATTTACCTTTTTTGATTAATATTAGTCCTTTTTATGTGCATAACCAGTACCAGTATAATAATTATAATTATAGCCAGTACTAATAATACAGTAAGAGCTACACTTAGTCCAACTATCACTCCAGTATTTCCTCCATTATTGACTAATACAGTAGTTGACACAGTAGTCAATGCAGTAGTCAATGGAGTAGTCAATGCAGTAGTCATGGTAGTTGTTTCAGTAGAATAAGTAACTAAAAACATAAACTGATTAATATATGCATCAACAGTGATATGTTTTCACTATTAATGACATTACTTCAAAATAAACTGACTACATACATCTATTAGTATATGTACTGTCTTACTTGTTGATGATAATGTAACAGTAATGACTAATGATGTATACACATATATGGAGTGACTCATTATAGTATTACCTGATGGTATTGGTTGAGTCCTCTCTCCTTCATAAATGATTCCATTAACATTAAATGATATAGATATAGAGAACAAGTAGTTCAGATTAGGATCTAATCCTCCTATTAGACCTTCAGTAGTATCACCTGGGAATACTCTCATTCCTGTCTCTACTTGTCTCTTCTTTCTTGAGGAGCTACTGGTTGACTCATAATAGACACTATAATGACTAGCTCTAGAAACAAAACTCCATTCAGCCCTCACTGCTGTAGAATTGAGCTTTGTGATAGAAAAGGCTTGAATGACAGCTAAAATAGAAAATACCAAATTTTACTATTCTTTACACAATTGCTTACTATATGTTACTTAATTGCTTACGTATTTGAATAGTACTATATTCTCTATTAGTCCATTCTCCTGGTCCAATACTAGTATATGCTCTCACTCCAATAGTATAATTAGTATTAGGTATCAATCCTTGTATACTGTATAAAGTGTTAGTAGTGTTAGTTATATTGTATGGACCAGTACTGGTAGACTCTCTATATCTTATCTCATATACTGTAATGATACCATTAGGTATTGTAGGAGGATTCCATACCATATTTATTCTAGTTGGTGACCTTCCATGTCTTAGATCAGATATCACACCAGGAACTGTGTTAAGATCATGTTAAACTAATCAATATCTCATTGACTTACTTGATTTACCAGTTAATTGTATTTCTTGTCTAGCTGGTCCATTCATATTATAATTATAAGGTATTATACTCACAGTATAGTTAGTATATGGTATTAATCCTGTGAGATTATACATTCTGTTGTCTCCTCCAGTGATATTAACAGTATAACTAGTGTTTGAAGTGATGTTAGTGTATGTGAGGTAGTATCCAGTGATTGGTCCATTCCTTCCATTGCAAGGTACTTCATCCCATGAGACAGTCATTGACACTGACTCTACTGGTGAGAATGTAATATCACCCACTGGAATAATAAAAAGTAAAAAATTAACAAATTACATTTGCTTTTTTACCAGTTGATAGTGTAGTAGCTAAATAATTAGTTCTCAAATAAACTATATCAGCTCCATATACTCCAATAAGATCAAAGGCACATTGACTGTAAGGAGGTATACCAGTTGAAGTATGTGGTGATGAAACTGATGTTGTACTATTGCTAGTGACTGATGATTCACATACTCTTCTACATCTCCTATTAATATTATAGCTTATTGGTACTACAGCAGTTGGTGGACTATATGTTAATGTAATGGCAGTACTGGTAATTAATGTAGCTATTAAATCATTAACCACTGGAACGCCTAGTTAAATATAGTCATGGAATTATAAATTATAAAAGCTTACTAATTGTTAACATATCTGAAGCATTACCACTAGGTAGAGAAGCTGATCCATAGGATGCTACATAGAAAGTGTATGTACTTCCTTGAAACAATTCTAATATTATATTGATTGTTGTATAACTAGTGTTGCCTACACTAACAGGAGTATTACTAGACAGTTGATAGTAGACCTCATAACCAGTAGCTCCTGATACAGTAGACCAGGAGAGTCTTACATGAGCTAAACCAGTACTTAATCTTGTAGCAGTTAAACCAGTTGGAGTATCAGATACTGAAAGTATATAAACAATAATAATAATAATTAATAATGACACAGACCTGATAAACTCACAAAAGTAGCACTACTTGTTGCCTGAACACCTCCAATATTACCATTATTACCATCAGTTACTCTGTCATTATATACAGTACACTGATAGTTACCAGCTTCTCTCAGTCTCACTGTTACTGTCACTCTTGTAACAGATTCTGATCCATTCACTATCACACGAGATACTGACAGTTGAGATACTACATTATTATTCAAAAAACAATCTACAGTAGTAGGAGGACCATCAGAGACATTGAAACTGAGACTGAAGACTGGAGGAGTAGCTAATCTACTAGTGGAGAGGAGAGAGAACTGCATAGTAGGATCGGCATCAGGACCATCTGTAAAAGAAGTACATTAATTATAGTCTATATTCATCACATACCATTGTTACTGTATCCAGGATCAGTATATGCTCCAACCACTAGTGTTTGATTCACTCCATTCTCATCAGGAATAATACACTTGTATAAACCTTCATATCCTGATAGTCCACTTCTTCTAGTTAGTGCAATCTGACCACTGAATCTCTTACTGTACAGTGGACTAGGAGCTGATAAATTTTCAAAGTTTCCATCAAATAAAGATACTTCAGTTCCATTAGGATAATACCACACTCCAATATTAGTAACATTGTTAGCACTCTGACACCACAAAGCATCAATGATATCATTAACATCATTATTCTCATCAACATTGTAAAACTGGCTAGCATATATCATAGAATAATCAGGTATTATCCTGTCCCGATAAGGTAGGTACAGTCGAATACCTGAATATGAGTATAAATCTAGAAGTTACCAAAATACTACTTTCTTACCATTACTGGGTAAGTTGGAAGGTGCTTGTCCAGATACAGTCATCAGTTGAACCAGCAGGAGCAATAGAAAACAAGACCTGCTTGAGAATGCCATTTTTGTTTTCAATGTAGATTTTATTGTTGAGCTAACAGAATCATGTGACCTTGCATTATCAGTTGTTGGCACAAAAGTGTATTTTACTCTCTTAATTTAGATCTAATGAAAATAATGAAATTGTTATGAAGCCACGCCCAGTCAATGAGCTACGCCCTCTTTAATATTTGCAAAAGATGCTTGGCATTGAAGACGTTCTTATGTTGTGTAGAAAGTTTGAGATGATAGTTTTCAATTTGATCAAGTTTAAATTTTTAAAGTTGTTCAAAAATCAGGTCAAAGTACACTTGTGTATACAAACATTTTGAAGTGATAATTTTATATGCATTGTGGTTTAACACAAATTGCAAGAGTAAAAACATTCCCAAAATTCATTCTCTGGGGAAAAAAGATGAGCCTTGCTCTTTTAAAAATTTTAAAAGTTCAGCTTTGTATATTGACCATGTATTAAGCTCAAAACTTCCTTTTTTGTATGAAAAATTTTGTTATTTCTCCATTTGCTTTTTTTCACTTCTTAAAACTATTGTCTTTCAACTAACATAAATATTTTTATTGCTATAACACAAACACAATATCCATTAATTTAAGTGGTAGCATTAAATATACATTTATTTGCATCACTAATAGTGTACATGATAAAAGATGAGTGGGAGCATTATTAAAAAGGTGGTACTTCGTATTCAGAAGTCTCAGGCCTGTTTGATGATCTATTTGTTAATGTATTTTATTTTCAAATTAATGCAGTAACTAACTTTGTTTTAAAATCAATTGTAGCATAAGTTGGAATGCTTTGCAATGCAATGTCATTCTCTGGTTTTCTATAAGCCATAGTTTTAAAAATGCCATTGTAATGAATGCTCATTTACCTCTTTTGGTCTGTTCTTTTCACATGCAAAACAATTAC